CTAAATCTATTATACTGTATACAATATTTTATCTGATCTGGAATTTATATTACCCGTCATTCGTACGTACGTACGTACGTACGTACTTGCAGTTTAACTGCAGATTATTCAATTTAATATATTGTTCAATTTCAAACTTCATATGACATATTGTTCAATTTCATATATGGGCGGAGTGCACAGCAAAACCATGCTTAGAGTATATATAATCTATACACTCTAAGCATGGTTTTGCTATGTACTCACCCATATTTAATTTCATACGTATGATATATATTGTTCAATTTCATATATTATTCAATTTTATATATTATTCGATTTCATATATTATTCAATTTCATATGAGTTAACGGTCGAAAGCTATTCTATAAATAAAATTTACAACATTTGTACCCATACTGATCCGGATAGTTTTCCGGGCCTTTTTGAACTGTCCAGTAGACAATCTAACAGACGTCCACATTCTTATCTTGCTTATCAATTTGCCCTAAAATTAAATATATATACACAAAATTTAATTTAAGTCAACTTTATTTTAATGGCTTAAAGAAGCGTCATAGTAAAGCTTTGCGTTATTATTATCAAAATGCGCCGAGTTTTGCCGAAACTTTTCGAGTGACAAAAATTGAATAATTTCATAATTATTAATAAATTAATAATTAATAATTAATTAGTTTCCGGACATCACTGAGAACGAATTATTTTTCGTATAGATATGTATCGAATGGTGATGATAAAAGTGTTCGGAAGTAGCTTAGTAGTAGACCAAATAACGGACAGAAAAATTAAAATTCTAATAGTATAGATATAATACCGTCAGGCTTAGCACATGGTATATTCTAAATATGAATGATTCGTTGTTGCAGGATGACGGAGGTTAATGCATGGATCACCGAACGATCATACATTTTAAATAATGTAACATCTTCTAGGATGTTAATTGTTTGGTTTCGGAAATTCATGGGATTGACATTGAAAAACTATTAATTTCCTAAATTTATGTTGACTAGTCCATGAAAAGAATATATTCTATATTCATAAATGAAACAAATTATTGATTTTTTCGAAGCGAAGTGTCTCTTATGTAATAGATACATAATGCATAATTGGCATTCTAAATTGGGAATTCGTTGAACCGAGGATTGATCTATTATAGTATAGGCCTTGCTTTATAATCAATTTATTAATTACTAATAATACATTTTATTTAAGAGGTCACCTATATTGTAAGAGATCCGAAAAACCATGTAAAGATTAAAAATCAAGTTGGAAGTTTCTAGAATTTAAAATCGAACCAAAATTTCAATTAAAGTCGATTTCCGACATTTAATATATATGTTCGCGCATTTTCCTGAGCGTGACTTTGTGACGTGACTTTATGCTCGTGTATTTACTCATAATTATAAAGTTTGAATTTATAAGGACATGATCGATCACACTTATCCAAATTTAGTTAAGCCGATTTCCGCAGTACATTTAAAGATTTAATTCCGAGGATCTGATTGGATCTTTGAACTTATTACATAAATTAGGATAGTTTAACGGACCAATATTACAAAATTTCAAACTTCCTTATTTAGAGTGACTAAAACGAAGCAAGTTTTGAAAATGGTTTATTTAACATTAGGATTAGGCCAACCATGGGTTATAACAAGCACGTGTAGGTAAACATTACCCCACCCTCGTCCAAGATGAGTTCAGATAGCTTGTATTTTTTTTATCGGGATGACCAGGTTGATAAAAATTACTCAATTTGATTGGTCACTCCGCTTTAGCCTGCCTCCTTATTTGGAAGTAATTAATTAGGATCAGAGGTTTTAAGGTTAGACTTTCTAGTCCAAGGTAAGATTAGACTCGGTATTCTTGATTTTTTTTGAATTTTTCCTAGTAAAATTAAAGATTCAACTGGTTAATCAGAACTTCTTAATTAAGAAGTTGTATAGTATTTCCTGTATTTTGTAAATTTTAAGTTATCATGATTCGTTTATGGCTCTGATCAATTCACTTTAAAGGCATCGTAGAGTTTTAAATGATCAAGAACTAACTTAAAAACAAACCCATTTAAAAACTTGGCCCGAGTATTTACCAACGATTGCTCTAGTTCTTTTCTTATTATTTCACACTAATTCCTGCTATTCTCTGAACCTCAGCCTACATAGAATATTCTACATTAACATAATTGGATTTTCAATACATTATAAAGAATTCGTGATTTTCGTAAATTCGTTTTATAACTTAGTAGTATTATTAAAACTAACCAAAATCATGGTTTTGATTACATACGCACCCTAAAATAAAATTATATATAGCACCCTGAAATAAAATTATGTATATTATATGTAATTGTTAAAAAATTCCCCGGTTTTTTAATATCTAAATGAACAAGGATTCGCGAAATCTCGTCGATTAAATTAACTCAAAATAGAAATTAGACCGATAAATTTTCATTATAATATCGGTGAATAGATGAACCGAAATTACCGAAACTATTGCTTTATACGTAATTTAATACTTTTGTTGGCAAGCACGAATTGTTTTCATTCACGATTTTATATAAAGTATATCCGTTTTATATTATATGAACATAAAATTTGTACTATGTAATGTAACGAAATCGATTTCGCAAATACATATAAATCACAAAAAAATTACTGTGTACTTTATTTTTTCATTGTTACAAAAAGAACCATCAATTTTTTTTGATAAGATTTTGATGCTTCATCGCATTAAACATACATTCATTTATTATCTTACGTGTGTGTCACTACTATAGTTACTTATTCAATCGAAACTTCTTCCCTTTCAGCATCCATCTAATGCATCCATCAAACGAAAATAATCAAACATCAACATCTGAAAATGAAAATAATCAAGTATCGACATCCGAAAATGAAAATAATCAAACATCAACGTCCGACACAGTAGCCTTTCTCCCGGCATTACGAACGTCACAACTCATTACCGAAAACGAAAATGATCAAACATTAACTCCCGACACTGCAAATTCTGACATTCCAGTCTTACGTCGAGCCAAACTTACTCGTGATAAGATAATTTCAGATACCTTTCCAATATCACATATATCGAATATTATTGTTGAAAGTTTGGCCTCTAGTTCTTCTTCTTCTAGAACAAGATATTCAGAACCTCGTTCACCTCGCTCATCACTAAATGCTCAACTGGATGCATTGGTATATAATGCAATAATTAAAGACGATGTTCAATCTCTCGCAAAGGTTTTAGATGAATATCCCGATTATGATTTAAGTCGTCTTATCAATCCTACTTCTTCAGAAAATAATGAGTCTAATAAAACTCAAGATAGCCCTAAGACTCCTTTAATGATTGCTGCTTCTCTAGACTGTCAAATGACTGTAAATTATTTGTTGAAGTCGAATATTGAAGTCGATATGCAAGGTAACATTTATGTCGATTTCAAAACCTGTTTTTTTTTAAAAAAAAAAAAATCTAAACAGATTTTTTTTTTTCCTTTTCTTAAAAGACGAATATGGTGAAACCGCTTTCTTTCAAG